CATGTCCCAATAATGTACTTTAGAGCCTTAAAAATAAACTATAGGACTCAACCAAGGGTTACACATTATATTTAGTGAGCTAGTCTCTTTAGTCTCTTTTAATCTAGAGCAGTATCCCCCTTCGGAGAAGGGATTTTCTCATCAGAAATTCTACTACTGGGGCACCTGGGTGGCTCAGTCGGTTAAGCATCCGACTCTTAATTTTGGCTCAGGTTATGATCTCACAGTTCAAGAGTTCGAGCCCCAAGTCAGGCTTTGTGCTGACAGCATGGAGTCTGGATTCTCTCTCTCTGTCTCTCTCTCTCTCTGCCTCTCCACGTGCATATCCACGGGTATCCACTGCCTCCCTCTCAAAATAAACTAAAAAAAAAAAAAAATTCTACTACATATATATGTATAAGGGGTATATGTGTATGTGGATTTGTTTGCATTTCTTGTGACCCCGTTAATCTAGTGTGGCTGTGTTTTCTGTCTTCTATCAGATTCAGTTTTTGAAGATTCCAGACCTGCTTGGTTTGTTTCTTTGTTTCCACACTTTGTATTTTTCTGATTGTTCCCTCATCATTAAACTCATTGTCACCATTTTGGGCAAAAATATTACATCTAGGTGGCAAAGCATCCTCTTCAGTCCATCATGACAGGAGGCGCATGGTGTTCCATTCCCCAGTCCACCCAAGTGATTCTGATTCAGGTTCACCTACAGACACCATTTTGAAAAACACCTGCCTATAAAAGCTTTTGGAATTTTGTGTTATTTGAAGTCATGAGGCTTGGCCAGAATTCTGCATGACCAGCTCTAATCCTTTCTTGGAAGGGCTAAAACTATTAACAGATAACTATTATGGTATGTAGCATGGTCCTGGGTCCTTGCAGACATCAAGAAAATGCAAAAAGCACAATTCTCACTTTGGGTCCTATTGAGAAAGGAAAATTAGCCATAAAAACAACTTAACAGAACGTTTCTCAATCAGGTGATCAAAGATTAGAAAACTTGACAATCCTCAGTAGAAAAACAACTACTCTTCTGTTGGTTGGAGTTTAGTGTAACATTTTTGAGGATATTTTGACAATATGGTGAATTAAATTGCACATGTCCCTTGACCCAACAATCCCAATTAGAAATTTTATCATGTGCGTAGAATAGCACAAGATCCCAGAACTCTGCCCTCTCCCCATTTCCCACTCCCACCCCCCGCAAAGAACGAGAACATCGATTTTTCTGGTCATTATTTTAATAGCATAAAACCTGGAAACAACCTAAAGGTTTATCAACAGGAGACTGGTTAATGAGTTGCATGCCACACGTATTACTCAGCCATTAAAAACCAATGAAGTCCACTTTCTCTTCTAAGAAGATGGAATAGACACAGTTTTTCCTATTTCTCCCACAAAGTACAACTAAAAACCCTGCATGTTGCGTACAAAGCAGACACAAGAAGACTGAGACGTGGAGAAGGAGAGGGCAGGCTGGCTAGAAACCTTGAGATGGACATGTCGTGAGTTCTCTGGGTTTTGATCTTGCCTCACATGTCCTGGATGGAACTGAAGAAGTCAGCAACCCTGGAAAGCTAATAGGCACAGGTCAAAAAAAAAAAGAAAAAAAAAAAGCTCCAATGACCTTGTCTGGGCGATCTCAAAGTGGCCGTGCATGGCATCGGGGTATGGCTGGGACTGGGCCCAGGTCTACACTGCAGGACACGCTGCTCATGTGCTCTGAGCTGCTGGCCAGCACCGTAGGGGGGTTGCGTGGACCTTGGGTCAGGGGGGATCGAGCACTCGCATAGGCACTGCCTGCGCTGCCCCGAAAATGCCCAGGCTCTGGGGTCCCTAGAAAAGCAGCTGCTGAGCCCACATGGCTCTGGGTGGTAAGTACTTGGGGTCCAAACACCTGCTTGGCTGCCCCGAGGGCGTCTGGCCAACTGTGTCTTCCCAGGCTGAGGAGCTGAGTTCTTGCGTGAGGGTCCAGCTCGGCCCGTACACAGCCGAGGTAGCGGTCAGGGTGCTCTGCTCCTCTGGCCGCCATTTTTCTTCCTCATGGAAAACTTCCATATTTTCTTGAGCTGCAGAAAAAGCTGATGCTTCTCTTCCTGTGGGGCCAAAAGCTCCTCTGGCAACTTCAGAATCTGTTTGTTGGTTTCCTTTGGTGACGTTCTCCCCTCCAGCTCCTCTTTCTTCCTTTTCTCCTGCTCTTCCTTCATCTTCCACCCCGTCATCTTGTCCACCTCTTCCACCTCGTGCTCTGTGTGCTCCCCCACCGCAGGCGGGGAAGGGGCAGTGCCTTGGCCATGGCAGTGGACAGCTTGGGGCACCCAGGCATGGGCATGGTGCTGGGCACCTGGCTCTCTCCCTGACGGCCATGCAGGGAGGCAGGCGGTCAGGAAGGCCTGGCCCTGGCCCAAGGCGGAAGCCCAACCTCCCAACTACTGGTCCCCGGCACTCCGCGGACAGGCCCCTAGCAGCCCAACCTCAACCTGGTGCAAGGGAAAACCTTTGCTCTCTGAAATACTCATTTAAATGGATGAAAAGACAAGCTACAGCATGGGAGAAAATATTTGCAAACCACATACCTGACAAAGTTCAGTTGACCCTTGAACAACACAGGTTTGGACTGTATGGCTATTTTTCAATAAACACAGTACAGTTCTGTAAAATGTATTTTCCCTTTGACTTTCTCAGTAACACTTTTTTCTAGCTTACTTTATAAGAATACAGCGTATAATATATATAACACCAAAGATATGTGTTCCTTGACTATTTTTTAAGTTTTTTTTTTTTTTAGTAAACTCTACACCCAATGTGGGGTTCAAACTCATGACCCCAAGATCAGAAGTTACATGCTCTTCCCACTGAACCATCCAGGCACCCAGTTAACTGGTCATTGGTAAGGTTTCTGGTCAACACTAGTAATTAAGTTTGGTGGGGGGGAGTCAAAAGTTATGTATGATATTTGACTGCATGTGAGGGTCAGTCCCCCTAACTCTTGAATTGTTCAAGAGTCAACTGTACTAGTATCTAGATATATTAAAACTCAAAAACTCAGGGTGCCTGGGTGACTCAGTCAGTTAAGCGTCTGACTTCCATTCAGGTTATGATCTTGTGGTTCGTGGGTTCGAGCCCCATATCGAGCTCTGTGCTGACAGCTCAGAGCCTGGAGCCTACTTCGGATTCTGTGTCTCCCATTCTGTGTCCCTCCCCTACCCTCAAAAACAAACAAACATTTTTAAAAACCTCAAAAACTCAACAGTAAAAAACACAAACAATCGTATTGAAACATGAGAAATCAACATGAAAAGACATTTCACTGAAAGGGATGTATAGATGGTAAATAAGCATGTGCAAAGACGTTAAACATCATTAACCATTTCAGAAATGCAAATAGAAACCACAATGACTTATTGGTATACATCTAATAGAATTGGCTAAGATAAAAACAGTGACAACACCAAATTCTGACAAGGATGCAGAGAAACTGCATCTCTCATGCATTGCTGGTGGGGATGTAAAATGGTACAGCTACTCTGGAAAACAATTTGGCAGTTTCCTACAAAATTAAAAGAGCAACTATCATATGACACAGCAAATGTTACTCCTAGACATTTACTAGAGAAAAAGACTTGTGTTCACACACAGACTTGTACATGAATGATCATAGCAACTTTACTTACAATAGTCAAAAGCTGGAAACAGTTGGGAAATCTTTCAATTGGTGAAGTGTTAAGCTGTACTGTATCTAGCCATGGAGTACTACATAGCAGTAGAAAGGAAGAACTTATTCACTGATACACACATAAGCTGGATGAATCTCTAGACTATTAGACTGAGTGAAAAAACCCATTGTAAAAGGTTACATACTGTATAATTCTATGTATATCACATTCTTGAAAAGACAAAATTACAGGAAAGGAGAGCAGGTTAGTAGTTGCCAGGGTTAAGGAAGGAGTGGGAGAGAAGTGGGTGTGGTGATGACAAGGCCTCAGGAGAGATCCTTGTGGTGACAGAAGTGTTCATATCCTGTTTGTATCACTGTCAATATACTGGTTGTAATAATGTTCTGTCATTTTCCAAGATGTTACTTACCCTCGGAGGAAACTGGGGAAAGAGTATATGTGTTACTTCTTGCAACTGCATGTGAATCTACAATGGTCTCAAAATAAAATTAAAAGTTTAACTAAAAAATAAAGAGAGTAATCACTAAATGTATCATGGTATTCCACGCTGGATACTGGTATAATAAAATGACAGTGGAAAATAACAATAAGGAGGTCACTAGATCTGTATGTACCAGTAAGGAAAGATTTTCAAGATGTGTTGTAAATGGAAAAAGCATTTTAAAGAACATTATATTTAGCAAGATCCTATTTTGTGTTAAAAATGGATAGATGCATGGTTTTATGCAGAGAACCTTGCTATCTCAGTCTGTTTGGGCTGCCATAACAAAGCACTGTAGTCTGGGTGACTTAGACAACAGGAATTTATTTCTCACTGTTCTAGAGTCAAGAAGTCCAAGATCAAGGTGCCAGCAAGGTCTGTGTCTAGTGAGAGTTCTCTCCTTGGGTGGCAAAGGGCAGGTTCCTTACTGGGTCCTCACATGGCCTTTCCAAGTACATTTGGGTGGAGAAAGAGAGAGGAAGGAAGTTCTCTGGTGTCTTATCTATAATTATTTCAATCAGACTCTTCCAGAAGGAAACCAATTTCCTCTAGAGGAAGTACATAAATGAGAGAGAAGAAAATTTTTATTTTTTACTTGACATACTATTGTTTGGTTTTTGTTTTTTTCGTACCATTGGCATATGTTACATCTATGATTTTTAAAACAATAATTGCTATATGATATGGACTGAACTGTGTTGCCCCAAGTTCATATAATGGAACCCTACCCCCTAGTGTGACTAGACTAAGAGTCAGGGCCTTTAAAAGTTAATAAAGTTTAAATGAGGTCATAAAGGTGGAGGCTGTGACCCAAAAGAATGGGTAAAGAACTGGTTTCTCTGTAAGAAGAGGAAGACACAGAGGAAAGGCCGTGTGCACACACAGTGAGAAGGTATCTGTCTGCAAATCCAGCAGAGAAGCATCAGGGGAAAACAAACACAGACACCTTGATCTTGTAAGTCTAGCATCTTGAACTGTGAGAAAAATATTTCTGTTGTTTAAGTCGTTATGTCTGTGGTATCCTACAATGGCAGCTCTAGCCGACTGATGGGTGTCATTCTTCAGGTTTGAAGATCTCACATAATATATGGGGTGCCTGGGTGTCTCAGTGTGGTAAGCATCTGACTTCAACCCAGATCATGATCTCGTGGTCTGTGAGTTAGAGCCCTGGGCTGGGCTGTTTGCTTTTAGCCCAGGGTCCACAGCCTGTTTCAGATCCTCTGTCCCTCTATCTCTCTGCCCCTTACTTCTCACATGTGTGTACACTCTCCCTCTCTCAAAAATAAATAAACAGTTTTTTAAAAAGATATGTTAGGGCATGATTTTTTTTTTTAACACAACAGTGTTTCCTTTATCAAAGGATTAATAATAGGTTTATTAAAAAATAATTTACTATGTGAATTAATTTGTAATTATGCCACTTTCTCTATCCCTTTTATCTCTTTTTTTAAAAAAATGTTTATTTAAAGGGGGGAGGGACAGAGAGAGAGGGAGACATAGAATCTGAAGGAGAATCCAGGATCTGAGCTGTCAGCACAAAGCCCAATAAGGGGCTCAAACCCACAAACCATGAGATCCTGACCTGAGCCGAGGTCAGATGTTTAACTGACTGAGCCACTCAGGAGCTCCCATCCCTTTTATCTCTTAAAATTTACTTATCCTCTTAGGGTCAGCTCAAAAGCCTTTTCTTCTACCACGACCTTCCAAAGTACCCTAAAAACAAAGTGATTTCCCTCTTTGGACTCCCATAGCCATTCTGTGGTACCTCTTTTACAACAGTCATCATGTTCTAGCTTAATAGTTTAGTTTACGCATCTCATCTCTTCTAAACTATAAATAAGCATCTTGAGAGAAGGGATTGTGTTTTATTCCTCTTTGCATCTCCCGCAACATGAAGCCCAAAGCTCTGATGCTTACATTAGTTTCTATTGCTGCTGTAACTCATTACACAAACTTAATGGCTTAAAAAAACAAAAGAAGTATTATCTTTCAATTCTAAAGCTCAGAAAAGTGCGCTGTATATTACAAGGTTAAAATCAAGAGGTCAGCAGAGCTATGCTCCTCATTGACACTCTAGGCAAGAATCTGTTTCTTGTCTTTTCCAGCCTGTAGAGGCTGCCCACATTCCTTGGCTCCTGGCCACATCACTCTGGTTTGGGGGATGAGGACATGGACATCTTTGCAAGGGAGGCATTATTTTGCCTGCTACGACAACCAATCGACATGTTGAATAGTGTTTAAGTATTGAGGGGAGATGGTAAACAAAGTATTAGAATAGAATAGAGGTGATCCAGAAAAGCCTCTAAGAAGTTGTGAATTTTGATCCAAAAATGGCAAAATGATTTTTTTTTTTTTTTTGCTTCTTTGATTTGTAGGTCAAAGAAACTGATTAGGAGAATTTTTCATTGCCTGCAGTGATTCCTTACACATAGAGTAAACGGTCTGTTTTCTGAATGAATGAGTGAATAACTAGAAGAATGAATAGTAGGACTCACAGGTGGAGGAATAATGTGTATTTTCTACAGTGATTTGTAATGCTGATATTCTGTTTAATTTCTTTTAGAGAGTCTATTACTCCTTGTATGGAGAACTATCCACATTTGAAAAGCACACATCATGATGTTCCCTCCAGCTTCTAGGCAAACTTTTATCCCCTGTTGAAGGTGCTTTCAACAGGAGCTGAGTTTTTTTTTTTTTTAAGTTTTTAAATGTTTATTTATTTTTTTTTTTTGAGAGAGAGAAACACAGCAGGGAAGGGCAGAGAGGGAGAGGAGACACAGAATCTGAAGCAGGCTCCAGAGCCCAACGCCAAGCTCAAACTCCCAAACCATGAGATCATGACCTGAACCAAAGTTGGACGCTTAACCAGCTGAGCCACCCAGGCACCCCAACAAGGAGCTGTTTTAAACTGTCTAGACTGTAAAACAAATTGTCATTCTACTTGCAATGTTTTAATCTTATTTTTTTAATGGTACAGACAATACTTTTTTTTTCAAGTTTATTTATTTATGGGGGGAGGTGCAGAGAGAGTGAGAGAGAGAGAATCCCAAGCAAGCTCTGTGTTGTCAGTGCAGAGCCCCATCAGGGCTTGAACTCATAAACCATGAGACTGTGACCTGAGCTGAAATCTAGAGTCAGCGGCTTAACGGATGGAGCCACCCAGGTGCTCCAGTGCAGACAATACCTTAACAACAATAAAGGACATTTAATAAGTGAGACTTCTCCAAACCCTACTACATTAAGAAACAAAGCTCAGCGCAGCAGAACATTTCCTCTGGTTTGCTGCACCACTGGGTTCTTTGGTACCGTCACTTCTGCTGGTGTTATTTGTGAATTCTGTAAGGGGCATCTGCCCAGAGTGGAGGCTGGGTCCAGAGCATGGGCTGGGGGGTGGTGGTCCTTGGATCCAGCCCTTACATCTGGATCTGTGGTGTAGTAGACATGGAAGTGAAGCAGGTGTTTACAGACCCTCGTTGCCTTGGTATGAATCTGGCCATTCGATTCTTTGGGCTTCATGACTGTTGCCATCCTTGAGTACGATCTGAGTACCATTGTTTACCTAGTATTTTTACAAGCTGACTTGCATTTACTCCACTTGAGTGAAATCATAGGTTTAATTTGTTGTATGTTTCTAATATTGATAAAATAATGACATAACTATCAAAATAAACACTGCATGTCAGTAGATTCCGTCTGAAAATTCCTGACTCTTTGGGGATACACCAGAACAGACAGACGGGGGGCCTCCTGAAATCCAGCCAGACTCTGGCAGAGGCCAATTTGACCTTGGTTTCCTGTGCTGGATTCTGAATGAGAATCCTGCGGAAGTCTGTGATTAGCCAGATACATATTGTCAGTTGCTTTTGGTGAAAACTATATTTTTATTATATCAATAGAACTTAGGCAAAAACAAAAGCAAAACAAAACCAAAACCTCCTCGAAGTGCCATGATGCTATCTTCCTGACCCCCATAGAAAGACTGAGGCAGAACAAAACTTACTGATGCTCTGAGACAGTTTCTGTTTGAGAAGGTCTTCTTCTTCTTTTCTTTTTTTTAAGTGATCTCTATACCCAACATGGGGCTTAAACTCACAACTCTGAGATCAAGAGTCACATTCTCCACCAGTTGAGCCATCCAGGAGCCCCTTAGGAAGGTCTTCTAGTCTTCCCTGAAGAGAGAAGAGAATCAAGTGGTAGCACCCCCTTGCTGGAGGCTTTTATTTTTATTTTCCTTTAAAATTCCTTTGAAAAGTAACTTTAAAATTTTATACTTACACTTGATCTCAATAAACATAGATTATATACATTATAATGTCATTTAATAAGCTTTGGGTCAGGGCATCTGGCTGGCTTAGTTGGAAGAGTGTGCAGTTCTTGATCTTGGGGCTGTGAGCTCAAGTTCCACATAGGGTTCAGAGATTACTTAAATAAATTTTTAAAAATACTTAAAAAAATAATAAGCTTTGGGGTAAGTAACCTGTTATGATCTTGACCTATTATGTCAAATACTTGAACTTTTCAAAGTACTAGGCTTGTCATTATCTTCCACAGTAAGTTAAGAAACTAGGGATCAAGAATATGTACAGGGGTGCCTGGGTGGCTCAGTCCGTTAAGCATCCAGCTCTTAATTTTAGCTCTGGTCATGATCTCATGGTTCGTGGGTTTGAGCCCTGCATCGGACTCTGTGCTGACAGTGTGGAGCCTGCTTGGGATTCTCTCTCCCCCTCTCTCTCTGCCCTTCCCCTGCTCACACATGTGCTTTCTTGAAAATAAATAAACACTAAAAAAAATTTTAAAGAATATGTACAATCTGGTAATCTCAGAAGTAGGGGGTCAGAAAGGTGGAGAAAAGGACTTACTTAATTGTAATTTACAAGGCTGTATCTTTTGTGGTCAATAAGAAATGCTAAGAATTTTCCTGAGATGTCTGTTGTTATTCACACGAGTTTCTTTCCATCATTTGTCATTTCATCTCCCTTCTAATACAAAGCAAATCCAACTTTGCAGTGTTTCTTTAATCTACAGAATATGTTTGCAATAGAAAATGGAATTTATTCGCTCACATTGGAGTTGAATTTTGGTAGGCTTGATTTATTTAATATGACTGATCTTTCTATATAACCTGATGTCTCTTCTGTTAGTTGATTAGGAAACCTCAGATCCTGTGTCTAGCTGTCTTCTTACTGGCTGTGCAAGTAAAACAAAATGTTGATTCTAATAAGTATACATCTAAACACATCCTAAAACCTGGGTGCTTGGACGAGATGGGGCTGCGGTAAGCTCAGCCGCAAACTGCTCCAGAAGGTAATGGAGATGCTCCAGACAGAACTCCCTGACAAACCAAAAGAAGTGATCCTTTTGGGGTGCCTGGGTGGCTCAGTCGGTTGAGCGTCCGACTTTGGCTTGGGTCATGATCTCATGGTTCGTGGGTTCGGGCCCCGCGTCGGGCTCTGTGCTGACAGCTAGCTCAGAGCCTGGAGCCTACTTTGGATTCTGTGTCTCCCTCTCTCTCTGACCCTCCCCTGCTCACGCTGTCTCTCTCTCTCAGAAATAAACATTAAAAAAAAAAAAGTGATCCTTTGGAGCGAGCGAGCGAGAGTCTTCTGTCTTTGCTGCCGGTCTTCATTTTGGGATGAGTTGCTGAATCTGTAGGACTCACTGAAGTAGGTGGTGAATGGAAAGTCTATCAAATGAACTAAATGAGGTTCCCAGGTTAAAAAGTAGAGGGGCGCCTGGGTGACTCAGTCAGCTGAGCTTTAGACATCGGCTCAGGTCATGACCTTACAGTTTGTGAGTTCGAGCCCTTCATGGAGCTCTGTGCTGACAGTTCAGATTCTTTGTCTCCCCCTCTCTCTTCCCCTCCCCTGCTCACACTCTCTCTAAAAAATAAATAAACATTAAAAAAAATTTTTTTAAGTAGAGCCAGGGAGTGCATTCCTGTATGAGTTGAGAGTA